ACAGGACTATATACCCTATACTATATACCCCCCTCCCCCGTATGTTCTGGCAGTTCCAATGGGTCTGGTTCTGATATGTCAGTCTGGTCAGGAGATGAACCTGGATCCTGGTTGAGGTGCTGTTAGATAGGTGAAACAGTTCAGCTGTGATGTACCCGAGTTATACCGACTACGTGCCAGTGCCTGATCTTATTATAAAAGGCGGGTACCAAAAACCAAAACCAGCACCTTAGTGGTCCAGTGTTGGAGCCTTTGATGTTACCTGTTCTGGGAGGAGCTCCTGCTGAAAGACCACAGATGGTAGCGTCAGTCGTCAGATACTGTCTTCCATAATCGGAATTTGCCCCAAATGTATCTTCATAGGAAGATTCATATGAACCAGCCCACAGCTCTACGTCTTAAACCTGTAGAACGGTGGGCTGGTTCTCTGAAGACGCTGAGGCAGAACCAGCTCTGTGTGAAAGAGCTAATGAAGGGATCAAGGCCCTTTGCCCTCATTTAACCATAAAGGTGTTTGAAGTTCTCTGTATGTTTAGTGTATGGTTCTCCTCACACTCCTCTGTGTGATGAGCACTGGGGCACAACCCCTGACAGAGAGGCCAAACAGGTGGTTCTAAACGGTTCCTGCAGGTCCCTGGGAGTCCTGGTCTGTGGTGGTCCTGTGATGGTACCACTGCATCCTAAAAATAGCAAGTTGTCATGTCACAGGCTTATTCCAGAAAGGATGACTTTTCTTTGCAAGCTCCTTTGACTACACACAGTACTCCAAATCAAAATTCTTAAATGTTTATTAAAACATTTAAGAGAAAAATATAACACATGCACAGGTATTCTCAGCCTTTGTTAAAATATGTTGTTCAAGCACTTTTTGTCTGCAGTTACAGAAGATCTGGTTCATTTTCACCCTTGACTATTGTATGACACGCACACATCAATGAAAACTAAACACATTTTTGCTATAAATTCAGTTAATTTTAGTTAGTTTTGTGAACACTCATTACAGTTTTAGTTAGTTTTCCTTTTTTTGTTTTTATTTTTATTTCCGTTAACGAAAATGTTTTTTCACTTCTAGTTTTCGTTAACGATAATAACCTTGTTGGGAAGGACTTTTAAAATGTATTCCATTACAGATTACAGAATACATGCCCCAAAATGTATTCTGTAACGTATTCCGTTACGTTACTCAATGAGAGTAACGTATTCTGAATACTTTGGATTACTTAATATATTATCATGCTTTTTACAACTACGTGAATGTACTATTGCTGTGTGATTTATTACTATTACTGAAGATCCACGGCTATTTATGGATGAGAAGTAAAAAAGACGCCAGGTGCTAAAAATAAAGCTTAGACTCAGACGTTAGAACAGGCTTCTCCCCGCAGCACGCCGTGTAATAAATACTCACAAAGAAAACGGCGCCGTTACAACTTATGTCTAAAAATGTATCGTTTCATGCATCGGCTAAAACACTCGACTCCAGCTACAGACGCGCAGCTGGAAACACTTCACGCAAGTCGAGCTGCCCGAGATTCACAGAATTTACAGAAAATGTTACATTTTGTGATTTATATCCTTATCGGACGATAGAATTCTTATATCCGGATATGAGATTTTGGTCATATCACACATATCTGATCTGACTAATGCGTGTTCCGTGTCGGGCTCGTAGCCAAAGAAATAGCTTTATTTTGTTGTGTGGGTCAACTTTGCTTGCGAGAGACAGAGAGAGGCGTTGAAAGGCTGCTCCAACGGAACTTATTGTTTCAGAGGAAAACACGAACACAGCGTACAGTCGAGTCTTAATAGCTTACTTACAAACCCAAACAGTCCTGACCCGCGACAATATGAAACAGGAAAGTACCGCAGTGTAATCCATTTATTTCAACAAAGTAACTGTATTCTGAATACCACCTTTTTAAACGGTAACTGTAACGGAATACAGTTACTCATATTTTGTATTGTAAATACGTAACGGCGGTACATGTATTCCGTTACTCCCCAACACTGCAGAAGATGAACCTTCTCCCAAGCTCGATGTCCAGCACACTTTTGGACCAGGTTATGTCTCATTCGTCTTTTCCTTCAGAGTCCTTCACAGGCCTTTGGGCAAACTCCAGGCGGGCTGTCGTAGCTGGTTTCCTTTAGCACCCACTCGCCTGAGCCCGCCTCTGTTTGTGTCGTGCTCTATTACATTTGAGTTTCACCTCAATATGTGTGGGGTTGTCATGGGAACACAACCAACATCCCATGTGTCTGTGCCACAAACACAATGGAGGACATTGAGGCGATGGTATACCCGCTGCTTGGTCTGTGGGTGTTTGTCAGACTCGAGCACCAGGATGTCAGTTTGTAGGTGACCCTTGTTGCCGAGTTTCAGAAATGCCAGGTTTCATCTAACTCGTGATTCATCTAATGACACCGCTGGCTGGCCAATCGGGGGCTTTTGATGTCACATTTTTAGACTGACTCTGCTCGGTTGGAAAGCCAGG